GGAAACATGGCTCCCTAATCCTGGGAGAGGCCGCCCGAGGCATCTCAGACTCTGTGCTAATTCCAGTGACAGCACGTCAGATTTGGTTCAGAGATGGCAGAGCTTTGCTGTTGAAGAGGTGACCGGGACTGCCGGGGAGAGAGGTGGCCCTGAGGGACCACATGCCAGCCATAGCCTCATAGTCACATGATTTTGGGGGATTTTTTGTTCACATAACCTTGAACACTTATTTATTTATTTTAAAATTATGGTAAGATGCACATAACATATAATTTACCATCTTAACCATTTTTTATTGAAGTTGAGTTGATTTACAACATGTATTCATTTCTGGTGCACAGCATAGTGATTCAGTTACACATTTATATATACATTTTTTCTCATTATAGGTTACTGCAGGCCATTGAGTATAGTTCCCCATGCTGTACAGTAGGGCCTTGTTGTTTATCTGCTCTGTACATAGTAGTCTGTATTAACCATTTTTAAGTGTACAAATGCAGTAGCATTAAGTACACCCACAATATCACACAACCATCACCACCATCCATTTCCAGAACTTGCTCATTATCCCAAACAGAAACTCTGTGCATTAAAGCCTAACTCCCCATCCCTCCATTCCTCAGCCTCTGGCAACTTCTCTTCTACCTTCTGCCTCTATGAATTTGACTATTCAAGATATTTCATTCATGTAAGTGGAATCATACAGTATTTGTCCCAATTTTGTGTGTGGCTTATTTCACTTAGCACATGAAGTTTTGTCTAGTGTGGTGTGTGTCAGAATTTCATTGATTTGTTTGTCTAAATAGTATTTCATTATATGTATGTGCCACAGTTTTTTTGTCCTTTCATCCTTTGATGAACATTTGGGTTATTTCCACCTTTTGGTTACTGTTAATAATGCTGCTGTTGCGGGGAGGGTATATCTCAGTGGTAGAGCACATGCTTAGTATGCACAGGTCCTGGGTTCAATCCCCAGCACTTCCAAAAAAAAAATTGTTTAAATACATAAATAAACCTAACTTATTTTATTTAAAAAAATGTAAAATGAGGTTTGCTCATTTGGTGTGTAAAAGAAAAGTTAAGACATGATCAAACAATATTTTAGGTAAGAAATACAAGGACATAAGAACTGAATTTGCAAGTGTTCAAGATACAGCTTACGAGGGGAGGGCATAGCTCAGTGGTAGAGCGCATGCTTAGCATGCACGAGGTCCTAGGTTCAATCCGCAGTCTCTCCATTAAAAAAAAAAAGATATAGCTTGTGTGTGCACTCCTTACTCCGTGTAGAAGGGCCTTTTTCCAAACCTTAAATGTGTAAGAGTGAATCACACATATCTCGAGGCATAGAGCATACTTAAGGCTCCTCAAAGAGAAAGGTAGAACTTAAAGTGAGGGTGTGAGAAAGTAGATACCCTTATTTGGGAGTTTTAAATCTTGTTTTGAAAATAATACAATTTTTCTGTTCATAAAAATAGTACTTATTAAGAAAAATTCGGAAAACGTAGAAAAGTATAAAGAAGAAAATTCAAATAATCTATAACCACTACATTCTCATGTTTTTCCATCTGTTTACCTATTGTTCTTTCTATAAAACTATGGTTCTAATGTACATATTGTTGACGAAATTTCGACTAACTAGAAGAAAAAAGGGAATTTTATTTGAACCAAACTGAGGATTATAACCCGGGAGATAGGCTCTCAGAAACTCTGAGAACTGTTCCACCCATTAGAAGTCGAAGGCACAGTCATATACATTTTTGGGACAAAGGATCATACATCAGAATGGCATATCAACATTTTACAAAAAGTTCACCCAGGATATGTACATAGTCTAGTTAAACAGGTAGAAACAGCAAGTCACCGTAACCCCCTACAGCCTTGGGAAAGAACACTGCTCTTTTAAGAAGCACCATTGTTAGCATCTGAAGAAAGGGGAAAAAATTGATCTTCACGGTCGAGCAGGCACTCCCATCTTTGAGGGAATTTGGTTGATAGGTAATGCAGATTAGAGAGGAACGGAAGGAGGTCCAAACAGACAGAAAGAGAATTTTATGTTTCATTTCTCTTGTCCTGCCTTAAAATATAAATTTCATTTCATCAGTTTATTACTTTTTGCAACCTGATTTATCACTGAGCAATTTATTGTGATTATATATCCAGGTCAGTAAATACTCTTCTAAAATGTCATTTTTAATATCTCTTTTCTCTGTCATCTGATGTGCAGTTATTTTACTGGTCTCCTGTTCTGGGGCATTTCCATTCTATCCAGTTCTTCAGTATTATTACTTTCTTAATTGGAGTGGGGTTGATTTACAATATTGTGTTCATTTCAGGTGTACAGCAAAGTGATACAGTCATGTATATATTTTTCAGATATTATTTTTATTATTATTTATTATTATTACT